ACTGACCGGAAGGTCCGTGGTTCGAACCCGACCTCTGCCACTCGACTTCCCCTGTCTAGGCTTGGGCAACCTGGCAGTATCCCAGCCCTCGTGCCTCCTTCGTGTGGCATGGCAGCTAGGCACCGAAAGGGTGCTACAGCTGGACACTTAGACAAGAGCTGGCCACTTGCTACCTTCAATCTGGAACCGTGGCCTTCAAGAGAACGATGGACTGTGAGTATGGAGCAGTCTAGAGTCCCAGAAGTGTCCGAATGTGTACCTCCACTCAAGCAACTTGCTGGCTTGAATGTCCGTGGTTCAAACATAATCTCGGCATTTAGACTACTTCTGTGTAGGCAAAATTGATAGTATCTCAGCCCTCGTGCTACCTTTGGAGGAGGGGGACGTAGAAGCTAGACACCGAAATGGTGCTGCAACTGGACAATAAGTATTTTTAATTTAGTCTGCAAGAGTAGTCGATTGGGTATAGGCCGGAAGCTGTTGGCACCCCGCCTGTTTGAGATGAGTAGCAGTGGCTGTTAGCAAATTGATAGTAGCGGTGCCTGTCGGTTGGTGCGGTTCTTGTGATTGGTTGGCTACTAGTTATTTCGTGGGCGAGGAGGGGTGGTGACTGAAAACTGCCTGACTCCTCATCTTAGCCAGAGTCTCAACACCGGGCTTCGCGCATGCGCGTGCGCATCATCATCATTATCTTCATCCTCATTCACAGCAACACTGTTGAGAACTGGCTCAAACACTACAGAAGACCATGACATGGCACTGTCAGGCGGAGTGTTGTGAACTATTTACCCTTTGGGTGCGGTCTACATGTTTCTCGTTACGCTAATTGAAAGCGCTACAGGGGGTAACACCTGACCCATTAGGTTCCTGCCATTTGACCGGACTGGCTAGTTGAAGTATACCGGTCGTTGTATGCCTGCTTTATTTTAAGTGAGATTCGCAGAAAGCTGGGTCGATCCCGCTGCTGGAATCTAACTCCAGTATACCCACCCGTATACATTTCGATTCTATTCTCTAGCGTGGATGAAACTTTTTGTGACTGCTTTTTCTCCCTGAACGTTGAGATTTTCGCAGTAGGTTTCAACCCCTTCTCTCCACTTTTTTCAGGGGCGCTCTATTTCCATTATTTTGTAACACTAGTTCATCAGTGTTTGTTGCTGGTGCATTACTGCTCTTGATGATGTTGATACTCTTCAGTGGTGGGTTATGTCGCTTGAACTCAGGAGCCACGTCCATCAGATCAGACGGTTTTCGATTTTCCGTGCTTGGGAGGATTTCGTTGCTTGATTGTCAGGACGGTTAGCTGCACATATGTTGAATTCACCTGAAGCTGCGCGTCAAGGATGAAACAGATGATGGCATCTGCGTTGCTAGATGACCCTTTAGTGATAACCGTTACTGTAACACCTTTCCGGTGACTAGCTGCCATGCTACTGGAAGGAAACACGAGGGCTGATCTACCGCCGGTCTGCCCAAGTCTGGAGAGGAGTAGTCGAGATAAATAGGTAAGGTTCGAATTACGAACCTTTAGTCAGTTACTTCGCGACCTAACCACTGAGATATCCCCAGCTCAAACAACAACCGAGCTGAATGGTACCGTCAATGGTTCCTATGGCTCTTATAGCACATTGTTCTTTCCAGTATTTTGTCTGCAAGAGAATACTGTTCATGGGGGTAATTGTTTTCTTTCTTTCTTAGCGTGACTCTCTTCTGAGGCAGTTCAGTCTTATCGGATTGCAGTCTCCGGTGGCACCGCGAGTTTTGCTACTCTCCCCCAACCGTGTCGTGAATGTCGTGCCCATTGACTAGCCGGAATACAAACTTGGAAAGTTTGAACATGGTGTGTTTGTTCTGTTGCATTTTACCCGGTGGAGCCGATCAGGTGAGAGGTTCCCTGTTCTGTTTCTACGTTTTCTTTCAGAAGAAGGTAAAAATCGATCCATTGTCTATTGGACCCCCCACAGGATTTCGGCATGTGGCCCACATGGGCTCAGGTATTCAACGGGAGAGTACGGTGAGTCTTTTCAGTGATAAAACTGGAGTCTTTTACTTGTAGCTGAACGCGCTGTATTCGATTTGACCAACCCAGTCTTCGGTGTGCGATTGTTCCGCAGTAGATTATGGGTTTCCTCATATGGAGGACTTGGATCGGTTTAGGAGCGCACTGTGACATATACGTTTATCTGACGTGCATATCTGAACGCTGTCTCAAGAAGGCGTTAGCTCCTCAAGTCAGGTGAACTAGCTCGGAGACGATGATAAAAGCCCTCCGTTTAAAATCTCTATAAATCTTTCAGCTGTAACACCCTTCCGGTGCCTAGCTGCCATGCCACCCGAAGGAAGTACGAGGGCTGGGATACTGTCAGGTCGCCCAAGCCTAGACATGGGAGGTCGAGAGGTAGAGGTCGGGTTCGAACCGCGAACGTTCCGGTCAGTAAATCTGCGCTTGAGCCATCTCGCCCCCTTCGTTTAAAACGGTGAAATGTACGTTTGGTATCTTCCCCCCTAGTTCTGGGGTCCAGTTTTTATATAAATGAACCTTGCACCATTTGCAGGCCAATAGGGCGGCAAACAGATGCAGTCTAGTTTGAAGCAAGCAGTTCGTTCCGCTGCGCTCTCTTGGACTTCAAATAGAGCATTCCGGCTTTTATCTACTTTACGCATCAGGAACCATTGGTGATATAGGATCAGCGGTTTTTCACTGCCGTATTTTCGTCAGTATCCCCCAGCCATTCGTTGACCAACTACTGCACATTTTCATCCAAAAACTGGACTGTCATGAAAAATTTGAATTACACGAAAGTTGAATAGAACGAAGCTGTTCTCTAGACCAAATTAATTTGGTGTTAACGGGAAACTCAACCGAATTCCACCTGAATCTCTCATTCGGAATCTTCAGCTGGGATTCAGTTGAGTCCTACGTTAACACCAGCCTCATTTGCAACTGAGTGTACTTCACCAACCGGATACAATTTGGAATTCAAGTAAAACATACATTTGATGGGAACCTGGAGACTGCTGGATCTAACTAACGAGCCCCAAGAAAGGCGAACAGTTTTCAGCAACTTCATGAGTAACGTGTTGTTTCAACGAACATCTTGCCGACTAATTTGCTGTTGAATCGTACACGTTTATCTTTAGTAGTATGTCAGATCCTATGGTGACCTTGGGAAGAACTAATCAGGAAGAAGTACGAAATCCTAGACAATCCTTTTGGAAGCGGACACAAATTTCCGTTTCCAAATGGAACACGTGGTTCTGCAGGATGGCCTTGGCATTCTATCGATAAACGATGACCGTGATTCCCTGAAAACTGTGAAAATTCACTCATTGGCACTGTGTATCCTACTGGGAGGATTGAGTAGCATTTTAGGCTGACCGACCAACGTCAACAGCAGAGTCTTAGATCACCCTAATGAAATAAAATATAGTGCGAAAGGTGACTTATCGTTTGAGGACACCTGGTAAGAGTTCCTGAGTAAAGGACTGGGCGCGGAATGTGGTTCCCCTGCAGTATAATTGCTACACGTGTCCCGTAATTGTCCTTGGAATTTGGCTGACTTCCTGCCATGTGCACGCGCGCGTTGAGCTGAGATACATGCCTATTTATTTATTGTGCGCGGTTTGAGTAGAGGGATGTCCAAACTCGTTTGACGGTTGCACAAACTTGAATACAGGTTAAACATAAGGTTGACGGAAACTCGGGGACTGCACCTAACTGAAGAGCCCCAAGAAGGGCTAAACCGGTAGTGGGCTGTCGAGGAGTTTTCAGCAACCTTGTGAGTAGTTTCTTTTATGAAAGCATAATGGAGCTTTTGTGTAGAGCGTTCAGTTGGTTTTAGCACGGATTCCGCTGAATCTTTCCTAACTAAATGCTTGGCCTGCCAATGAGTATATTTCGTCACTAGTTGCAATTGTCTTCGGATAGAAAACAGGACCAACACACCAAAATGGTAAACTTCCAGGAAAGCAAAATGGACAATAGGCTGTCTAACAGTCTTTAGAAAACTTGTGTAGAATATGTTCAGGAAATTTCAATATTCCATGAATCATTTGAAATATCAAACTTTGTTTGATGTGATTGAAGGTCGTAAGCCTGGCGCGTGACGCAAGTGATAGCCACATAAAGTGGATAGTGCACATGTCGGTCAAGAGTGCAAGTGGAACAGAATTTTGTCACATGGTTTGTGACGTGTGATCTAGTTAGTGCGGACGTACTAGACAAATTAAGTTAAGTTGGGAGGAGCAAGAAAGTGACCGCTACAAAACTGCGGCGTCGTCTGTGAAAATGCCACTGACCACCTTTCAGAGGCCTTACTTCGTTCGCTGCTCAAATCCTGTAGGAACTGCGGTCGTTCCCTCATGAAACAATTCTGAATATACGAACTACAGTGTTCCCGCTCTACTCTTTATCACGATTTCGCAATTCCACCGTGAAACAGCTTTTGTTTTAATTCGCCCGTTCTCCATTGTGTCTGGCAACCTCACCGATATTCGGTTCTCGAGCTGTTTACTTCCTTTGATAGTTGCCTTCCTTTCTCAAACTAAGCTTGACCAGCTGTAACAAAATCTTTTGTTGTGTTTATCAATCATCGGATGCATTGATTTCTCCTCTATTTTTCTTTTTACTAAACATCCATTGTGCACAGATTTTTCTATCCGATCTTCGCAGCAGAACTCTGCCTCATCGTTGATTTTAATCTCCATAATTCGGCTGGTAACCATCCTCTAAGTCAGACCCTGTCGGCTCCAGACCGAATACGTTTCTCGTACCAAGTCTGATGAAGACAGTGGCATGACCAGTAGGCCATGTGGTTTCCAATAAATACGTCCCAGTAACTTGTCGACTAAATTCCTAATGCCGACGGGAACAACCAGATGGTTGAAAATCACAATGCATGCGCCGATCGGATGACATTTTTAGGGCATATTTATGTAAACAGCCAATGGCAGTAACATACGCATCAGGGATACTGTGGTGAGGGCATTGTTGTACGCAATCAGAGACAATTGAACAGTTGAACACACCCGTTCCGGTGATGCACTGCCGAAGAAGCGTATCCTGCCGTGACTACCCGGTAATTTTGACCTGACAGCATGTGTATAGATTTCCGGCGTAAGTCAACTTTAAACCGGTGGCCTGGCGTCACATTTGTCATCGGAATACTGAGTAATAGCTCGCCAACGATGTGAACTCATTCACTTATTGATCCACATGTAGGAACAACTTGGATTGAGGATGAAGGCTTACCAAACGGGGACTCTGTTGACCGCGTTTTGTTTGGCCCTTATGGGGCTGCGTTTAGTGTCAAGGTCGGAGGCTTATCATATAATAAATCCGACGACAACCTCACGGAAAGTTCAACGCCTGTTTGATTGAGCTTCTTCTTGGGATGCGGATGATTGCATTTCAACTTAAGTTCTTTCATATGCGCCTGAGTGGAATTCGCGCTCAATGTACTCAGTTAGAGAATTCCCTCATGAGTATTCTCTTGCACTTTTTGTTTACTTCAATGTGATCGGAATCTCAGCATTCTGTTTCCTTCTCCCCCCTAGATGACACTAACCGATGAATTTGAGGAGTACGATTTCCCGGTTCATCTGAAACTCATCGACCTGCCGGTTTCAGCGGAAAGAAAATCTAGCTCACCCTCTGGGGATAGCTATATGACCAGTCTGGCCGAACCTCCTGTGGACCAGGTGTTCTTTTCGAACAATACTGACACGTCGTCCAGTCTGCAACCTGAGCCTCGGGAACCAGCTGTTCTAGCGCGTCGACCTGTCCCCACCCCGAATGCATTTGAGATCGGATCAACTTCTCCCGGTTATTCCTTCCCTCCATCACCGCAACGCTGCCCCAGCTCGGCCCCAGCTCGGCCTGATCGCAATTCAAACTTTTCTCCGCTTCCACCACCTCCACCCCCGCCGACCTACCGACAGTTTCTTCGTGTTTCTTCTAGCTAGATGGTCAATCAACTGCATTTAGCTACTTGGGACATGAAGTTCTTGGCTGTTGTCATGCGGTAAGCATGTTTCTCTCCTGTATGATTGTGGTTCCACCTTGCAAGTCTCATGTTGCGAAGTCGTTAGCAAGGGGTTACGATTGCCACAGCGTGTGTGTGAAACTGTTCATCATATCCTTCCAATATCTTCGAATCATTCAGATGTGGCTGCTTTTCGGCACTGCCATACAACCCGAGGGAGAAATCCGAGATAATTCGAGACTGACAAACTTTGTGCAAGTCTGACACCTCAGAGCCACCTGTAACTATGTCGTGTTATTGCTCCACCCATTGAGCACACAATCTGTAAACGTGCTATCAAGTCAACTTTTGGGCTGACTAGATATAGGCCTGTTGATCCTAAGTGCTAGCCTGGCAAAAGTATACGGTCTAGGCTTGGGCAACCTGGCAGTATCCCAGCCCTCGTGCTTCCTTCGGGTGGCATGGCAGCTGGGCACCGCAAGGGTGTCACAGCTGAATGATTTATATATATATATATATATATATATA